CACCAAGGGCTGTCTCCTGCCCCCAGGGTTTGTCCCCCAGCACCTAAGTGGGTCCCCCAGCACCCAGCTTTGCCCCCAGCACCCACATCACCCCTTCCCTTGCAGGATGTTTCGCCGGTTGTACACGGCCGTGGGGCCCAGTTACTCCAGCTCCGTCCTCAACTGCCTGAAGGTACTGGGGGGTGATGGGGGGGCCACCCCGATACCCTGAGGATGCCCAGGGTTGTCCCATGGGAGGTGGCAGCCGGTGCTGCTGGGCATGGGTGGGCATCCTTTGGGATTGCCTGGCATGGCCGGGCTTGGCTCAGCATCCCTGGGCTTCCCAAAGCCTTGCTGAGCATCCCGTGGGATATCCTGCCCCCCCGGCGCTCAGCCAGCACTGGGGTGATGCCCCCGTGTCCCCCCCAGAGCCTCGACGTGTGGTGCTTCGACGTCTTCACGCTGAACCAGATGACGGAGGAGCACTCCCTGAGGACCATCGTCTTCGAGCTCCTCACCCGACACAACCTCAACAGCCGCTTCAAGGTGCGCCCATGCCCGTGCCCATGCCCACCCATGGGTGCTGGGGGCTTTACACCCATGAGCACCCATGTATCCGTGCCCCAGATCCCGGCTGTCTTCCTGAACACGCTGCTGGATGCTCTGGAAACGGGCTACGGGAAGTACCGGAATCCCTACCACAACCAGGTCCACGCTGCCGATGTCACCCAGACTGTCCACTGCTTCCTGGTCCGCACTGGCATGTTGGTATGGTCCCACCGGGGTCCCATGGGTGTCCTATGGGCTCTAATGGGGGTTCCATGGTGTCCCATGGGTGTCCTGGCCATGCTGGTCCAAGCGATGCTTGTTGCCATGGAGATGGTACCACCATGGCAACGGCGCCAGGATGATGGGTAGGGAACAGGGTGACACATGGGGTGACCCCCGGCACGCACACACGTGTCCTGTTGTCCCTGTCACACGTGTCCACACACGCCTGCACACGCTTGTGGCGTGTCACACACGTGTGTGTCCCCCCCAGCACTACCTGACGGAGATCGAGGTCCTGGCCATCATCTTCGCTGCTGCCATCCACGACTACGAGCACACGGGCACCACCAACAGCTTCCACATCCAGACCAAGTGAGGGTGGCACGGGTGGCATGGCATGGGTGGCACGGGTGGCATGGCATGGGGGGCACGGGATGACATGGCGTGGCACGGGTGGCATGGCATGATCAGGGCTGGGGACATGCTATGGGCATGGAAAGGACTGAGTAGCACCCTGGGGACACCCAGTGTCACTGATACGGGCATGATACAGATGTGCTGGCATCTTGGGGGCATCCAGGGCCATGGATACAACTGCGCTGGCATCAT